AAGTGTTGAGACTTAAACTGAGGATGTGCACATCTGCTAAATCACAGTAATGTGAATAAAAGGATGCACAGCCGTCCTGCTGCCAAAAATTAATTCACCTAATCTCATCCTTAGGGACGACTAACTGTTCTAGGTTTAAAACAAAAAAACTTTGTTCCAGAAAACTTTATGGGATCATCTGAGGCTGGAGTGTAGATTTAAAGCGTCAAACGTCTGGGTGATGTCATTTAAACCTGTTGGCTCAGTGTTCGTTGGAGGTGTACAGCACCATAGACAAACAAAGATCCTCAGTGTTTCAACTTCAGCCTAAGGTCATGAGGTCACCACAGCAAGTCACCGGTGCCTGAAGCGTGAAGACGCCTGGGCAGAAACAGTGGTACCCAGTGGTCCAGATACATTTCTGTCTTTGTACTGTATTGTACTGCAGTAGAACACGTGTTGTCCCTGAGATATCATAAAACAAAAATGTACTTGGTTTTCCAGTGGAACCACAGTGATCCAGTGTCAGGGCCTCTGAGAGCTCAGGCAAATAAAAACTCTGGTAAAGAAATAAACTTTTTTTTTTTTTTTTACAGCATAAAATTGTTTTGACGTTAATCGTACTCCAGAATGTGTACATTACTGACGTACTGTACTACATCAGGGGTGAAAAACCAAAATCAAAAAATTGAAAATTACTGAAAAATTGACTGGATTTGTGCATGTTTATCCCATCTCTCCAGATCTGTAATGTAGATTTTTTTCATAAGGAAACAAACTATACTTTTTATGTAAACATCTAGATCTTTTTTTCATAAGGAAACAAACTCTACTTTTTATGTATTTATCTGGAACAAGCAACGCTGAATATCATGAACACGAGTGTTAATTGTTTGTTGTGACCAGCACAGAGAGATCGGCCGACTGTGTTTTCCCACAGATACTGTCATCTGAGTATCTCTCTCTGGGGTTTTTTTCTTGACAGTCCAGTGAAGGCAGCCTGTTGTTTGTCACCTCCTCGGTTCAGAAGGGAACAGTTTGAGGCCGTTGACTCACTGCGGGGGCACAGAACTGCACACTGACACACCATACAAGTTTCATTTCCATCTGCACAACACATCTATCAGGGTAGAGTTTCCAGCTCTGACCCAGGCCGAGCTCTGACTGCTACAGCGACAAAGCACGAAGATGTGATGTTTTTTTTTTTTTTTTTTTAAATTCATACTGCGTTCTTTAACTTTACAGAGTTTATTTATTTCTGTTTACTACTGAGAAGTCAGTGAAAGCCACTTGTCTTTTTATCTCCCATCATCCCTCTGGCACTGACACCCATGGTGGTCAGGGTTCTCAGGAGGAGATGCACGACTCCTCGGTTTACACACAAGAATCTTTCAAAATTCCTTCACACACGTCTTTTTACTCATGGTTTTTTCCTTTGAAAAAATGAATGATTTTTCATGAAAAAAAATTCCTGTAGCGTAATACAACTGTCAAAGAGTTGATGACCTTTAAGTTAAATCAATGAATGTATAATGACGCAAATGTTATGATTTGTATTTAATGACTCAGCTGAGAACAAGTCGTAGTTACTGGCGTGATTTCCCTGAAATATGACAGAGGAAACGGCGTGAAGGAACAAAACAACGACTTCTCCTTTTTTTTTTTCTTTGAAAAAAAAATTCTGTTTCTTTCATTCTCTGTGCTGTTTGTTGTGAAATTAAGTGATTCCTGGATAAGTGGTCTCAGATGTCTCCTCTGTCTCTGAGCGAGGTTCTTAAAGCTGTGCTATGGTGCCCTCTAGCGAGAGAAGAAAAGAAAGGCGAAAAAAAAAACCCCTGGTAATACAGTAATTGGTGACGCCATAATAGCAACGGCACATAGTTTTAGGAACTTTTGTTGTATTTTTAAATGTATGCACCCACAAAAACACATTCTTTATATAGTAAAACACATCAAATTAACAATTTAATGCTGTGTAATAACTGTTTAATACACAGCAATGAATAATATCTGAACTAAAATAATTTAAAAAAAAATCAATTGTAAGACTATGTATTAATAGGTTATAGTTTGACACCCGTGACTTTCAGCATCAACATAATTTGTATCATTCGAGCGGATACAAAGGTGGTGTATTTGTTTGTAATTGTATGTATGTCCATCATCTACAATTATCTACAATAATGTGTCCGTACTGTGACAAACCTCGGCACAAGGCTGTGAGGAATCACCTGTAAACCTCTGATTTCAGCTGCATGTAGAATGTGCTCAGGCATGTGTGGGCTCCATTAATGGTGATTGTGTTGCACAGATAATTAATTGACCGCTGAGGAAAAAAACGTCTTTGTTTCCAGTTTGTCCATTTTTAAACAGGTGCATGTTTATGTCCACGTTGGATCCATTATTTACTTCCTGTGTTTTCCATTGGCAGATTTGAAGCTGTTAATCAGTCTGCAGATGAATGTTAAAGCAAGAAAGTCACGGGTGACCAAAAAAAAAAAACGTCATGGCCACAGGCGAGAGCTAATGAATGATTTAAAGTTTTCACTGAATATATACGTATATATATTTTTGGCTCTTTATCAGGCAACACTGCAGTAGTGATAAAAATATTTCGATATGGTAGAATTTTTATGGCCTTTATGAAGAACATTTTATCATGTTGGGGCAATTGATTTGATCTTAAATACTTCATTTCACCCAAAAAAGTAAAAAAAATTTAAATTAAAATAAAAAAAAAGTTCAAGCAGCATTTGTCAACAAGCCCCAAAAAATAAAATAAAAATAATACAGAACAGAAAAAAAATGAGCCAAGTGTATATAAAAAAGAATTAATAGAAATTATAACAAATCTAATAGCCATGTACATTCAAACTACATTTACTGTACAGAGCCTATTTTCTGTGCTTTTACTTTGAAAAAAAAAAACCGTCAACTGGAAGTGTAGGCGTTGTTTCTGCCGCTGAGCGGAAATCACGCAGAACACGAGGCGACAGTGTGAGCTACGATTAAATGGACTCAGTCTGTTGGTTCTAAATAGACCGGTGAGCGTGGTACACACACACACACACACATAACAGTGTAATAACGTTGTTGTTACGATGTCTAACTGACTGACGTCAGCACACGTAAAGTTCACCTTCTTGAACAACTTTCTTAGCTTCTCAGAGCTAACGTTAGCAAACAAGACACCGGCAACAGACTTTACGGCATTAACGTGATTTCTGTTGACATGTAAGCAGTTATGAATGTGTTGTGACAGTGATTTTAGAAGATGTTAGTGTTCAGGAACTTAGTTAATAAAAAATAAAAAAAACAGGCAAAAAATTGTACAAAGTATAAATTGTACAACAGAGACATGTTGATTGTGCGTGTACTCGTGTGTTTATTTTCGTATAGTACTTTGGAACGAGTCTAGGTTTGAATATTTTTTTCTAATTTCAGGTCATAAAATAATTGGATGCTGTTCACTCACCGGTCATTCTCGTTGTGAAGTGAGACACCTACAGGATGTCATCTCAGGAAGAAGGAGCAGCAGCAGCTGGAGCGTCACCCTGCACTGACATGGAGGTCATCACTATCACCATAGGAGCCACTGTGCCGACAGGGTTCGAACACACGGCTTCTGAGGAGGTCAAAGAAAAGATCGGGGTTGATGCAAGAATTAGCAAAGACCGTGGTCGCATTTACTTTCCGATAACAACAGACAAGCTTTTCCAGGTGAGATGAATAGTCTGCTAGCGTTAAAACTCTTCTTAATTCAGTTCCGTTAAAAAAAAATCTGTGCAGCTTAATGTAAATACTATCACCCCCAGGAGATGGCGCCCTAGGCTTATGCTTGTAATCCGGCAAAAAATCTCCACTGTATGTTCAAATGCAATGGAACTCTCTCTTCATCATGTCTTTGTCTGAAACCTAAGGTTCATCGTCTGAAGTCTGTGGACAACCTGTTTGTTGTGGTTGAAGAATATGACCATTATCAGTTCAAAGAATCAAAGGTGAGTCGCTGTCGGCAGATTTTTAATTATGTGAATCATTATTATGTGAATTGTCTAAAAAAATATGGCACAGTATTGTTACTATACTGTAATGCTGCAACTGCATTACTAACTCAGTTACCTTTCAGAGAAGTAACCTAACAACCAAGTAACTGGTTATTAATAAAAAAACACAACCAAGTAACTGGTTATTAATAAAACCCCTCATCTTGGCTGATTCAACACTCAGTGATTTGTTCCGTTATTGATTTCATTTTCTTTTTATTCTCAGGAGGAAACACTAAGTGAACTGCAGGAGCTCGCCTCCAAACTCCCCTGGACCAACGCCCTGGAAGTGTGGAAACTAAACAGAGCTGTGAAAAAGAGAAAAGCTCACAGGAAAGGAGAGAGCAGCAGCAGCAGCAAAGGACCACCAGACCACGAAGACAAGGACACGACCTTGGCCAACACTGAGCCCATGGAGGCTCCTCAGGAAGAGTCGAGTGCTGAAGGCCAGACGGAGGGGTCGCCCGACACCGATCCTGCCGCGCTGAACTCAGACGACGCCGCAACCAAGGCCAGAACCCTTAAGTTCCGAGTGACGTGTAACAGGGCGGGGGACAAACACAGCTTCTCCTCCAACGATGCAGCCAGAGATTTTGGCGGAGCCGTTCAGGAATTCTTCCAGTGGAAAGCAGACATGACCAAGTTTGACATTGAGGTAGGAAAGTCTTGTTCAGACGAGAACGATTCCAAGAAAACGCCAAGAGTGACACAGAAAAGGAAAACATGACCGTACATCGTTCACACAGTGATCAAAGACAGGAGGACAGCTGTGATGTCCTCACAGGCGAGCAGGCCTGTCTCACTGACGGGACAAGTTGACAAGTGTTGTTTTAGTGATGTGTAAATGACTAAACTACATCGATGACTTCACAACCATGACCTTACATCACAGATTAGTGTACTTACCAAAGAAAACACATGTCCATACATACTCTTACAGATCAGACAACACATGTTTGAACCACCTGCTGTAACAGATCACTTTTAATCAATTTTTTATGTTGTTGAGACACTGAACTGAAGAAGGTGCTGTAACAGATCACTTTTAATCAATTAATCAAAGGTTGTTGAGACACTGAACTGAAGAAGTAGTTAATCAACAGTTTACATTTTTTCTATTTGGAAATATCTCATGTCATTATTTGTAACATTTTTTGTTCCAAGGACCGGTCGGCCGTTACAACGGACCAGTAATATCGCACCGTCGTTGAAGGATCATTACATTTTTTGAAAAATAATCTCTTCGATTTAGTCTTTCTTCTGTCAGTATCAGAGTCTGAATGACCTTTGACCTGTTGTTTTAACACAATCAGTAAAGCTGAAGTATATTTTTTCCTTATGTCCTACTGCGGCCCAGACCAGCACCAGTCGCTGGACCAGGGGTTGGGCACCAAGGCTGTAGTGTACTGTATAAGAACATCTACTTAAATTTCTCATTTTCTGCCCAACCTTATGGTCTGCCTGGTTGACTGAGGGCTCAACAAAGAAATCACCAGGAATTCTATGGGCTCCGATTAAATAATAATTCAACTGTCTTTAAATACATTTTGCTCCATCTGAAACCAAAATGTCCATCACAGTTGCTTCTTATCTGCATTTACATTCTCTGTGTTTGTTTTGCAGGTTTTACTCAACATCCACAATGCAGAGATGGTGATTGGGATCGCGCTCACAGAGGAGAGTCTCCACAGGAGGAACATCAGTCACTTTGGACCCACCACGCTGCGCTCCACCCTCTGCTACGGCATGCTCAGGTGATTCTTACAGAGTGGTGATAGTAATCTGCTGTAATCTGAGTTCACGCTTTGATTTATATTCTAGTCGAAGCGTTAAAACAACATGAACCAACTCTGCAAAGACTTTTACATGTTTTCAAAGGTCTTTCATCGTTTCCCCTCAAATCTGCTGCGTTTAATTCTTTGAATTCTGCTGTGATGCATATGACAAATGTCTCAACAAATGTCAAAGAATCACCAGGTTTGAATGAGTGGGTTAAAAACTCTTGAAATCCTACAATACGGTGTTAGATTTTGAGGCCCCTGACTTTTGAAAAACTAGCAGGTGAAAGGACATTTGTATCAGGGTTTTTCAAATTTCCAGTCGGGTTAATCACCAGACAGTTGTGGATGACTCAGTTAGTCACAATTAATGGCGATAAATGCAAATTTTGAAACAAAAAAAGTTGCTTCATGTTCACTAGAAGTGAACGTCAAACAACATGCAGATGCATGTGTGTCACACCTGTTTTAAATTAGTGACTAATACAGGATGTCAAGTGGTTCATGTGTTTTTTATTACATTATTTTTCTGCTAATTTTTCACTATTTCCCTTTTCTTGAGTTCAATTATAGCAAATTCACTGTTGTTGAAATATTTTCATTATGTTTTTATCTAATATGGTCAAATAAGGTAAGTTTTTAAAAATGTCTTCGAATCTAATTTTACTCAGGGTCCTCGTGCAAATTGATTCTGTTCCACATCAGCTCTAAAAATATATATATATATATATATATATTATTTTCAGTTTATCTCCAAGTCCTCAAAAAGGTCGATTCCATTTCAGAATCATTAATAAATGATGATAGAAATACATCAGTGTTTATAGCAGCGTAAAACAAACCTGAGCAACAAAACATTTTTATCTTCACTTGTTTCATGTAATTGTATATTCTCTGACTTTGCTGCATGAATTCCAAGCATCCGTCGTTCCGTCTTTTTTCTCACGGTGACTGAATGCAGATATATCAGATATCGTTATGCAAACAAAGAAAAAGCAAATCTTATCTCTGACACACCTCTGTGTTATTAAAACATAACACAAGGCACAGTTGTTCAGAGTTGGCTAACATTTCCCATTGAAGTTTCCGCACACAGGAACACAGCAGCGTTTTGTTAACCAGAAGAATGCTTTCTGTATCATGTAAAGACCGTAAGACTAAATCTGTGTCTTAATATAATCACGTTACTCTGTGGCACTGTATTGAACTTTAATTTTTTTTTTGTTCCTGTTATTTTTAACAGGTTGTGTAATCCTCAGGTGTCTGATGTCATCCTTGATCCCATGTGTGGGACTGGAGCTATACCACTGGAGGTGAGCCCCTGTTGACAAAACAGATGAGAGCTTAATGTTGATGAATATGTACATATGACCACATACTCCCATGTTTGCTCCATGTTGATGTGGTTGCTAATCTGTACACCCACTAGGGGGCAGACCTCTGCTTCTCCTCTACCTTGCACTTTATTTTCATCTTAAATGTCCCTCACAGTTCTCTTCGAACTCTTCCACCATTACTGCTGTTGTTGTCGTCCAATGGTTCTCCTCTGTTTTCGTACTTAATACATAATTTAGCATTTCAACTCCCATTGGTCACAAAAAAAAAGGATAGTAACACGTGAAGCCTCCGTGCTCTGCTGGTGTTGGAGCATCACTTGATCGAGAAGGATTTTTCACTTATTAACATCCTGTAAATGTGTCATGTTTTTCTTGTATCCAGGGGGCCATGGAGTTCAACAGTTCCTTCTACATCGCCGGTGACAATAACAACATGGCGGTCAACCGCACAGTCAATAATGTCTGTCACATGCAGAAGAGGAGAGCCGAAAAGGGCAGGTGAGAACGCAACACTAAGTTTTTCAACTGTGATTATAATAAATATCGACACTGGAAACAACTAGTGCTGCGGTCAGTAACCGACCTGAAGTACAAAAACACATTCTCTTTAAATACACAAATCTACTCCTGCAATGCTGCACAATGTCACAGAGTGATGTTCATACTTACAAACGAACAAAAATAACCCGTATGATTTAAGAACCGAGTGTTAATCTATCTTCTGTTTATAAACTGACTAAGACACAAAACGGTCATGGACGCAGATAATCATCTGCTGTTTTTTTTTAATTATTCTGTGAAATCATTGCTGACACTGTGCATGTTCACACAGAGCTCCAGTCAGCTCTGCCAAGGCATGTCACTGTGAAATTGAATAAAGCTTTCCCAGGGCCTGTTTAGTTGAAGTCAATGCTTTAAGGTGATCAGGCTGTAGAAGAGGAATGAATGAAAGACAAATGTCGTTATTTAACCTGAACCTACTTATTAAGGTCGACATGAGCACTTGTTAATGGTGACTAGAGTAGACTAGTGACCAGCCTCACTTGTTAATACCAGGTCTGAACTTTGTATTAAGACGTTAGTGTCAGATCAGCGATGCTCATGTTTTCATTTGTTTTTGTTTCTCCAAAGCACTGTTCCTGGATTACCTATAGACACTGTGCAGTGGGATTTGTGCAGTTTACCAGTTAGAACCAGCTCTGTGGATATCATCATCACTGACATGCCCTTTGGAAAAAGGTACTGTGGTATTATATAATCAATCAACAATATGTACGAAGTCACGAGAGAATTTACGGCTGTATTTCAGTGTAATGTAAAGATAGCGACCGCGGGCCTAACATTTCTTCCTTTGAAGGATCGGCTCCAGGAAGAAGAACTGGGATCTCTACCCGTCCTGTCTGAGAGAAATGGCTCGTGTGTGTCGACCAGGTTCAGGCAAAGCTGTTCTGTTAACACAGGACAAGAAATGCTTTGTTAAGGTAACATGGCGTGAAGGACACCTGATACCAGATGTGTGGCTCTTAAAGTCGATGCAGAAATATGTCAAATCTGAAGCAACCGTCTCACGCTCTGCGAACGCGTGTGTGTAACTCAAATGTGCACATTCTTTCAGAGCACAGACATGTAATTACTGCCCTTTAAGTCAGTCGTGGTATTTGCTAGGGCTGTGAATGGAAAGGTTTGTTTAATTTTAAATTTTCAGGCCGACTTTCTGTCTCCACAGTTACTGAGAGTTTCCGAATCTTCTCTCAGGACTTAGATTTAAAAATTCCTACTCCCAAATGACTAGCTAAAGTTAGCTAAAGATTCTGTTATTGCTGTCAACGCTGACATTTTTTGTACCTAATTTTTTTCACACACAACACTTTGGAAAAGTGTTATATTTGAAGTGACTGACTGCTTTTAGATGTTTAACTTTTCCAAGGAAAACATTTTTGTTTTTAGTAGTGTATTTGCAAGAATCTGGCGAGCTACATGGGGCAACGATACAATATATTGGGATAAACTGTAATACTATAGGCAGAACCTTATATTGAGGGTTGAATTTAACAATTTATTTGTAGGAAAACTGTCAGCACAGTAAACAAACAATGGCGTTCCATCTTAACATCAGGTTACTAACATTAGAACAGAGGGATCAACATTTGGAATTTAGATTCCAAACGTAGAAATTAACCAACACCAGGAATATTTGACTATTAACAGTAGTAGTAGTGCTCAGTGCTCTTGTGCTACAGAAAATAGATCTGTGGTTCAATCCTTGATGGTAAATGTTTAGACGTTCTAGAGTCGGGAAAGATGCTAATTAGGCTAAATGTTCTAAATTGACCATAGGTGTGAATGAAAGTGTGAATGGTCGAATGGTCTTTCTATGTGGCGTCTGTTAGAGAAAAAACAAAATTCCATTTATCCTGCTAACAACCAATGGTAACACTTTTTATCCTGCTAATAACCACTTGTCTTTTGTTAGGTACATCATGAAACATTTTCATTACAGCGCTGAACATGAATCTTGTTTGTAAAAACAAATGTCTCATTCAGCTCCGTCATCCACAGGCTCTGTCCAGGATGGGAGGACTGTGGAAGAAACTCCACACTGTTTGGGTTAACGTGGGGGGTTTACACGCTGCAGTCTACCTCCTGAAGAGGACGGGGGCTTCGTTTGGCCAAACTCCCGAAGATGTTTATGAGTCACGAGGACCAGTAAATACACAGATGGATAACAAGCCCGATGAGGCTTAACTCGTCCCCTCGGTTTACATTCTGCGTCTCGTTATCGTTTTATTTGGGAAGACATTATCCTGATTAAAGCAGGTTTAGTTTGTGATGTTTGACATTCAGGTCCATGTGTCATACCAAGAAGACGAACTGACGAAGAATAAAGCCTCATGTTGGCAGCACTCAGGCTCTAACGACGTTCACTCCTCATGTTACTGTTTACTTTAAAATGTAAAATGTTTGACCTTGGTCTTCTGCTGTTTGTGTTCTGAATAATAAAAACTCTGACTAAGTTTCTGTCTTGTTCATCAAATGTGCCTGTTTCATCTGATAACCGTATTTCCCAGACTAAAAGTCGTTCAGGAGTAGAAGTCACACCAGCCAGTTAGAGTGCCCTCTAGCGGCTGTCAGTGTTGTTCAAAATAACAAACGTTAAAATTATATATTGTAATATATAAGTCACACCTGAGTATAAGTCGCAAACCCAGCCATAGGATGAAAAAAAGGGTGACTTAGAGTCCGGGAAATATGGTAATTGGTAAAGGTTTAATACATGTCCGTCGCCTCTGTAACTTCATCTGCCAGTATGTTTGGTCTTTGACCTGTTTGTTTGGTTTTCTCTCTTCAGTGCATCTTAGTTTCAATGTGAACCCACCTGGGTTTTTTTTTTTCATTTCATTTTCATGCAGCGGTGCACGTAGTGCTGTCATGACAGGCATATCTGCTTGATTGCATCATAATTACGTTCACATCACAACAGTGAGCCGAGAATGAAGTGAGTTCGGGAATTTTTTTTGTTTGTTTGCAAAAATTAAAGGCAGTTGTAAATTTCCACATTTTTTTTATGAATGGTTTGGTTTCACAACATGCAGAGAGTATCATTCTCCACTTCCTGCAGCATTTAGTAATCTTTGACAAATCCACATGTGGTGAGGTTTACAGCCGGTGAGGCACTGACTCCTCTGTAGTCAGATTTACAACTGTAAGAACTGATTTTACTATTTCACTATACATCCAACAGCATCACCTAGTAATGCTTCATATCCAACAGCATTCCTCTTTCAATTCCACTTACACCAACACAAACATATACACAGGAACATAGTTGTCCTACAAAGAACGTTTTTATAGAAATTGACAGAGCACTGAGAGCAGAACAAATATAATTTTTCAGTATATATATATATATATATATATATATATATATATAAACAAACAAACAAACAAACAAGAACTTAAAACCATTTTTAGCCTTACCTTTACTTATGGATGAAGTCCAAGGTTGTATCCCTCGATTAGCATTGATAGCATTGTGGAGGCTAATGTTTAGTGTCCGTTGCTCATCCAATGCCAAATCGATCCTTGAATTTCCAAAAGCTTTTTAAAGAAATCTGGCTTCGAATGTTCGTGGCTGATGTCTGCTGAGGCTTCTTTGTAAATGTTTCAGGTCCCAGTAATCCGAGTTAGTCCAGACGTTATCACACGACAAAAATAAAAGACAAGGGAAGCAGTAATGGCGGTTTCTCACAGGACAGCAGATCTTTTCGTTTGTACCACTACATTTAAAAGAACGACTCTTCTGTCTGTAGTTTTTTAAAGCAAACCTTTTAGCTCTGGCGTTGGTCTTCTATCACTTACCGCCTTCTATTTAGACCGGAAGTCCAGTTTGGAGAACTGTTTCCGTCTTCCATAGTCCATAATCTGTCGGATCCGGCAGAGCGACTTTCAATTTCCTGTTGACGCCAGCACCTGTCAGTTCACGTCCGACCCCTTGAGGTGAGGTGCGGTACTGCATGCCTCCCCTGCTGCACATACTTTAAAGATATTACACAGAATAATGTAATAATGTAATGACAGAAACGGGGCTGTATTTGATCGTAAAATACTCGAATTCGGATAATTTTACTTAATAAATTTTCAAAAATGTGTAGAGTCATATTGAAATTGAATTTTTAACACAGATCAGTGGAGAATATTATTATTTATTAGTTTATTTGTATGTATTTTTTTCTTTTTTATTATCATGATGACCACACATCACATCACAACGGTGAGCAGAGAATGAAGTGATTTATTAGAGTTTGCAGAGAGAAAAGGTGGTTGTATATTTCCATTTTTTTTTTCAAATTTATGAATTTTTTTGGTTTCACAACCTTCCGGCAGCGCAAAAACTGCTGACGAAGGGTTACGAAATCGAACGTGTGTTTCATCACTGATCACAGCCGGTCAAGTCATGAATTAACACTTTTTTTTTCTTCTTACCTTCATAATTTTCCCAGCAAGTTTGTTCTGAGAAGTGTTTAATTCTATGGCCTGAAGCTTTCAGGTGATCGCACGGTATCGGAATCGTCGTGAGTAAGTGAGTGAGTAAGTAACGAAAGTGAGAGAGTCGTCTAATCCACTCTCTTTGTATTCCGTGTCCGTCCACCTGAAGCCAAAGAGCTGGACAGGTGTTTGCAGCTGTTTGATGACGTCATCAAAAAAGAAAAGGAAAAAAATATTGTATATTAAATTAAGCAAGAGTTTGTGCGTCTTACTGATATATATATATACATATATACATAACTTTTAAACGTGAATTCCACAATAATAACTTTATTTTAAGCATTCTAAAAAAAATCTACAAACGTTTCCTTGAATCTTGAAATAATTACTTATTATAATATTTTTGTTTGTTTGAAGCATTCTAAAAATCTCAAAAAAAAAAAAAAATCCATGGTCCAATTCAGTTTGGATGACGCATCAAAAAGAATATGTTTACGCTGTTGTTAAATCCTGGTATTTTTTCAGGATGAATGTTGAGGTCCTGCACCGCCGCCACGGAGAACGACGGCAACGAGACACAATGACGTTTCCTCATCGCGTGACTCGCATCCAATCTGCCGAGTCACTAATGATTCATCACTTGCAGAGACGGTCAGATTGAACGGTTTTGGGTGTTTTTTTTGGTCTATTTTTCCACCTGTTCGTTATGTAACTACTTGAATAGTCATTCAATGTAAACACCTACAGAAGAATGCGCGTGGTGGAGTACAATGGACAAAAACAATAGTGCGAGTCTGAGCGGAAGTTCTGTCTGTGTTTGTGTACATATGTGTGTGTGTGTGTGTAGAGAGAGAGAGAGAGAGAGAGAGCGATGGGTGTGACGAGTGAGGAAATCCCATAAAAAGCCATGTGTGACCCAGATGAGAGAAACTCACTCCGTGACTGTGGAGCAGAGAAGGTAAACACAAAGACATGATCTGGACCGTGTTTCTGCTCATCCACGCTGTTCTGCTCTACTTCATCCTCACACACCGGAGCAGGTAGGTGTCTTCACACACACACACACACACACGCACACAAAGGTCAAAGTTAACGGTGTGAACTCCTTCTTGCTGGTGAATCATTCTGTGGATGTTCTTCATCGGTCTGTGATGTTAATGTGACCCTGACTCTCATTCGTCATCAACGTGATTTTTCTTCATCATCTTCAGTTTCTTGGGTTTGTTCTGTTCTTCCAGTCTCAGTCTGAGGAATGTGGTCGAACGAGAACACGGTGTGTGTGTGTGTGTGTTATTCATCACGTTCCTTTGAGGTCACTGGAAATAAAACGGACTTGTTTTGTTTGTTTGTTTTTCCTGGCATCTGATTAAAAAAAACCTAGTGTCAGGTGACAGCAGGTAGACAACAGCTGACCTGCTGCTGTGTTGGCTGAGGATGATGATGATGAGGATGATGATGATGATGATGTTTAGTACCCAGTGTGCACTACACCTGGTACTAAAGCACAGGATGTTCCTGTAATGAATAAGTACTTTATTAAAAAAACATTAATTATAATTATTGACACAGTCCAGGACTGAGTGTTCAACTCTGTTCCTGCCACAACATTCTTCTGCTTCATCTTATCATTATTATTAATTTTTCTGTTCTGGTTGTTGTTGTTATTATTATTAAACAGATCAATCATTTATTCATGAATACAAATATTTGTATTATAGCATTAGTTAACAATTTTCTAAAATATGGGCTCAATGTAGTACGAATTTTTATTTTATTTTTAATATTATACTGTTATATTATTATTATTATTATTGTTATTAATAATAAATCTGTCTTCCTTTAATGTGTAATGTGTCTTAGGTCCAAAGGTGAGCCACCCTTAGACAAAGGAATTGTCCCGTGGTTGGGCCACGCTCTTGAGTTTGGAAGAGATGTTTCAAAGTTCTTGAACCGAATGAAGCAAAAACATGGCGACATTTTCACAGTGAGTCGAGAAAACTCAAAATAACCTAGTTAAGATTAGATTAGATTAGATTAAACTGTTTCGTGTGTTGTAGCAACAAAAGGTCGGAGGCAGAAAAGACTGTACAATAACAAAAAGTAAATAGAAACGGTAAAAATACAATACAATAAATACATACAAATGTTAGAAAACTACAAATTCTGGAGCTGAATATTGGCCATAATTACACAAGAAAGAAAAGAAGCAGCTGTGTTTAAAGCAACTTCCGACAGATTTAGTCCCTAAATATTTACAATTCCATAAACAAACACTTAGAAGAGTTAACCGACGACTTGTTTATTAAAGTCACAAATCAAACATTCAACAGGATAATTAGCCTGTTAGCAATAAGTGTGTGGCAAAACAACCACATCTTTGTTGTGTTAAATTGCTGCTGGCATCGGAGCTCTGACGTCACTGCTCTGCGTCTCTATTCTCCTTCGACTCTTTTATTCTCTTCTGTTTCATTATCCAGCTTTGAAAACATTCTTTATGGTGACGTCACGTGATTATTGTGATTACACGGTGTGAAAACAACTGTACGTCACATCCACAGGTGCGTGTCGCCGGACGCTACGTGACGGTGCTGCTGGACCCACACTCGTACGACCAGGTCATCCACGACCCCGAGTCCCTGGACTTCACACGCTACGCTCGGGTCCTGATGGACCGGATCTTCAACCTGAGGCTCCCGCACCAGCAGCCCGAACGATCCAAAGCCCTGATGAAAAAGTACGTGACTATTTCAGGAGTCCCTGCTCCAAACGCAAAGATCGTCGTGAAGATTTTCACTTTCACTTCACGAGTGAATGTAAAAGCAAAAATTAATTTGAGAAAAAAAAAATCCCCCCCCCACCCGCTCCCTCGTGAGAGGCATCAAGATGAAAGTAGAGTGGAGTCCCCTAGATACGAACTTCCCGGAATACGAGTCTGTAGCTGTTGTAAGATTTTACTCCTGATACGAGGAAATATCGAGTGTTCGACCGAGGACTGAGAAGCCGCGAACTCTGATGCCAAAGGAGCTGCGCAGTTCGTCACAAACTTTTACGTGTTTAATAAAATTAAAAAAAATAAACAAATCCTTCTTCTACCTTAGTGGCTCCGACACACTGTGGCGCTGTCTCACTCACTGCCCCTCGCTGGGTTATTCTACTTACAATAATATCAAATGTTTTCTTAAATATGGGTTATTCTACTTACAATAATAGTAAATGTTTTCTTAAATATGATTATTTTATTATTATCAATATATTTGTTTAGATCTATGTTTTTGTTGTTTTTAATGAGGAAAATTCGTTCGAGACACGAGTTCTGTCGTGTAACGGACTAAACTGGTCCACCGTGTGTTTGAGGAGGCGGAGATTCGCTTCAAATGTGGTGACCGAGTTTATATCCGGTCAGTAGACGAGTCTGTGACCGGACAATGGCTCTACTGTTCAGACTTGGAGGAAATCCTGGATTGCGGGCGTGTCTCCTCCGCCTTAACCAAAAATATGACAATTGTTTTCACAGCACCACCCACTGGTGAGGCTGCATTTACCAAGAAAAGAAATAAAATTTTTTTTTTTTTAATAGCTTTCTCTGAAACCCTCTTTGTCCGCAGGCATTTTGTGGGAACTAATCTGAACGCCCTGAACAGCAGCACGAGTCGACACCTGCAGGCGCTGCTGAAAGGCGAGATGCCTTCGAACCAGAAACACTGGAAAGACGAGGAACTGTTCGACTTCTCATACAGGATACTGTTCAAGTAAGAAAAATCCCACTTATACCACAAACACACACACACACACACACACACACACAGGGGCAGGATGTTCATCCAAACTGTTTACTGCCCACGCCGTCCTGTGTTTGTTAACACATTTGATAAATGCAGACCGAGGTCTGACGCCGGTCACGCTCCTGTGTTTGCTGACATTCTGCCTGTGAGGCTGAGGCTTTTTTTTTTTTTTTTGGCAAAAGCAGAGGTGAATTTCTGTCTCAGTTAAACCTGTGATTTACTCTGTGATGGATGGTGGAAAAGTACCAGCCGTTGAGGGATCGCGGAGAATGAGCTCTTTATCTTTTCATCACTCAGTCACTGTGTGAAGTCCCACACATTTTACACACCTTGTTCCTGTCCTCAGGGCGGGGTACCTGACGCTGTTTGGCGGAGAACAGAACAACAACGGCTCGGACCCCTCCAGGGTCTACCAGGAATACAAGGTGTTCGACGGACTGCTCAGCAAACTGGCCAGGGGAACGCTCAAGCCAGGTATTTATCCTATCCCCCCCAAAGAACAGAAACTGCATCTAAATGTTTTGGAAAACATATATCCATTAACGCATGTGTCAAACTCAAGGCCCGTGGGCCTAAATCGGCCCGTTAAGTCATTTTATGTGGCCCATGAAAGCTGAAAAAAGTTTCTTAACTTAAAAAATTACGCTATTTGTAACTCGCAGAAACAGGTATTAATACATCATGGAGTCATTACCAGTCGGACGGCCCTGCACTAATGCACCTCCTCCATGACTCCTGGTTGTTACTCACTCCGACACAGTCAGTGATTAAAGGACTGATTATCAGGATTAGAAAAAAAAAGGTCCGAGCCTCCACCGTTGCCGTTGGTGTGACATCATCTTTAAACGTCCCGGTGCATTTGTTATTGGGGTTTCCATGGAGCGTCGTGGCTCACACACACACACACACACACACACACGCTGTCAAGGAGTGTGTTTGTGTATTTGGGAATGTTTTCACTACGACAACACGTCCCTGTCAGAGGCCGCGATCCAACGGCTCGCCTCACTGTCACAACACGCTCTCCTGTCTCCTCGGGCCATGTCTGTGCGCAGGTCGTTGAAAGTAGCTGCCGTGTCATAACGCCGCTGCACACAAGTGCCATCTCAGACCTGTCGAACGTGATGTAATCTCCGCCGGTCATCGGCTGAACATGTGGAAATCCAGGATCACATATGACTGAAGTCGTCTCCGTCTGACTTCACATCTTTACATATTAACTTTTCGCCGATATCCGATATTATCCAAACACTTAATTTCCAATTCCGATATCAACTGATACCGATACAGGCCTGGTAATATTTATTTATTTACCTCTACAAACCCCTGTATTAGTATGAAGTTAATTAAATGAGCAGCAATGCTGCCATCTAGTGACTTTCACTTTAATATACAGCCGTTTGTCCCCAAAAAAGTTGTCATTATCGGAGGAAAAAACCAAGAACGATTCTTACAGATATTTCATAATATGCTAACACGTATCGGCCGATATTTGCGGACATCCCTAATATTGATCATTACAAAGCATTTAAAAGTTGTGTTTTTCCAGCAGGCTCAGTTCCTGAGTCCTGTGAACGTGTGAACTCTGGAGACACTGATGCCCTAATATTGATCATTACAAAGCATTTCTATACATCTAAGAATATATAATATTTAAATATATATTGTTAAATGTTTTGTTCCATAAACCAGTTCAATTGTTAAGTGTTAGCTTTCTTTGGCTAAGTCAGTTTAAGGGTTAAAGGAAGACAAAAATAAAATACCTTTAAAAACATTAGCCAGGAAAAATAAATCATCAACTTTAAAAGTTGTGTTTTTTCAGCAGGCTCAGTTCCTGAGTCCTGTGAACGTGTGAACTCTGGAGACACTGATGACTCACTCACATACTGATGTTTACTGTGTGTGTGTGTGTGAATGGCAGAGGAGAAGAAGGCCTCCCAGAAAGTTCAGCAGAGGCTGTTGGAGCTCCTGGCTCCTGCAGGTGGAGCCGAGAACCAGGGCTCCAGCTCCTGGGTCCGTGGCTACAGACTGCTGCTGCAGGAGGACGGGGTGGACGAGGACATGCAGAAGAAGGCTCTACTGATGCAGCTGTGGGCCACACAGGTGTGTGTGTGTGTGTGTGTGGGGTGTTCTGATGATTTTTCTGCTTATCTCCTGCCTGCTGAACTCCTGAACATGAAGTGTGTGTTTGTGTTGGAGCTGAGGTCAGTTCAATGTTTTAATACAAAAAAATGGTAATGTAGTTACGTCATTTTCTTAAAAAAAAGATTACGTAATTTTTTAAAACGATATGAACTCCAAATGTCCCAGGTCAGAGGGGTACAGTTATGTTGCAGTACCTCAATTTGGCACTAGAGTGCGCTGTTTACCCTTTATTTCTTAAATCAGAGCTACGGGACATCAGGATGAAACTGTGACGTAACATCTGGTCACTGCTCATTTTAGTATCATTTTTTTTATAACTAATTTTGAACGAATTTTTTTAACAAACGACACTGAATATTTGACACGTCTTCAAATATTACTGCAGTACAAGAAACAGACTTTACTTCTTGTCATGGGTTTGTAGGAAACCTCTCACTGATTCACTGCTGTTAATGTTTAATAAGGGCTTACTATAAAGAAGACGGTTTAATCCTCCTGCCAGACAGCAGGGAGTTGTGGGTTTGATTCCCGGGTGTAAACCTGCAGGATGAGGTTCACAGTTCAATCTCATTTTAACATATGCACAGGTTGAACCCAGCGACCCTGGTATTGATTAAACCGCGAATGTTTACTTAAATATCATGTATTTTTAACGACGGTGAGCTATAAAACCTAAGAGCTTTAATCCTCGGTCCCCGGGGGCAGAGGCAGAGGCAGAGGCAGGAAACCTCAAGTTTCCACTGAAGTCAACCTTTAACTCACTGCTCTTTTTTTGTTTTTTTTTGTGGTCTGGTTTCTGCAGGGTAATGTTGGTCCTGCTGCATTCTGGCTGCTGGGGTATCTGTTGACCAATCCTGACGCAATGACGGCGGTGAGGAAAGAGTTCAGCCGCGTTTCACAATCAACCACGTCAGAGCTGAACCTCATGGACACGCCCGTGAACACACCTGTGTTTGGTAAGAACGTGGTCACAGATCTGTGCTGGAATGTTTGGATTATTGCGTGGGGGGGGCACAATTGTCTAACGTTTCACATTAGGGATGTCTAATATTAGCTTTTTGCCGATATCGTCCAAAAAGCTAATTTCCGATACTGATACATGCAACAAAAATAATGTTTTTATTAGCATTGTTTGAACAGAATTAAATTTTAAAGCTATTCCGTAATATTTGGTGAAAAACAGGTATTGCGTTATCGGATTTTCACTATCAGAGGTATCAGAGAATATATTAAAGTACACACACACACAGAGTCACCGGGTTTGACCTGCAGACATCAGTGACGTCAGTCCTTTATTTTTAATAGTTTTTTTTGTTATGGTTTTTCTTTAGATAGTGCTTTAGAAGAGACACTGAGACTCACTGCTGCCCCCTTCATCACCAGAGAGGTGGTGCAGGAGAAGACCCTCCACATGTCCGATGGCCATGAATACCTGCTGCGGAAAGGAGACCGGTTGTGTTTGTTCCCTTTCAACAGTCCGCAGATGGACCCTGAGATTTACCACGAACCACAGGTTGGTCACACAGGTTTATACACCGCTTTACTGAGCTCAGACTGAAGAGTAATTAGGCTGAGGATGGAAACAACTCCCACACACAGCATCACGCAGTGACAGGTCAAAGGTCAAGCTGTTGACCATTTACGGATTAGCCACACATGAGAAGAGAAGTGGAGCTAAGAATCATGGGAAGGAGATTGAGTGTTAGCTTTGTGTGAAAGAAACCAGACGGAAAATTAATGAAATAAACTTTTTTTTTTTCTCTCTATTTTGTCTTTTTTTTTTTTAGAAGTTCAAGTTTGACCGCTTCCTGAATAAAGACGGATCAGCCAAGAATATTTTTTATAAAGGAGGCAAGCAGCTGAAATACTTCTCCATGCCCTGGGGGGCAGGAACCAACGGCTGCGTGGGCAAACAGTACGCCGTCAACACCATCAGGAAGTGAGTGTCTTCAAGACGCTTTAACAGATAAAGTATGCAGGGATTTTGTGTGAATGTCTAGCCCGCCTGCAGGGGGCGCTGTAAAGACCATCAAGTGCATAGATAACACAATACTTTACTCATTAATTGGTCAAAATGTTTTTTTTTACATTTCTTCACGTTCGACCGCTGACATTTTTTTTACGTTTTTGTTCTGATGTCGTCTGTCGTTTGTGTTCGTTTCCCAGGTTTGTTTACCTGATGGTCACCAACTATGACATGCAGCTGCGCGACGCACACGCTCAGATGCCCGAGGTAGACGCCAGTCGTTACGGGCTGGGGTTGCTGCAGCCAGTGGGGGACTTGAACTTCCGCTACAGACCGAGGGAAACGCACTGAGACGTCGGACAAACACGGGCGGAGTTTTTTTTGTACATTTCAACAGATGCACCTTGTCGCTTTTTTTACGTCACTATTTATATTTAATGTGTAAACTTTGACTTTGTATTATTTATGAACTGTTGTAAATTATGCACTGTGTTTAGTGTAGTGTCGTCACTTTGTTGTCTCTGCGACCATTGGTTGTCGTTGACCATTGGTTGGTAACTTTGTACTGTTTTGACTAAAACTGAGTTATTACGACTACACTTCGACCAGTGTCATGTCTTTTTTTTTTTGCAGTCCCTAAATGTTTCCACAGTGAACTGTGACTGTGTATGTTAAACATCATGACGCCGCAGTCTGTAAACACAGAGCTGCTGTTGGACGACTGACGTCCAATGGGAACGTTAGATATATATGTCTGTGTGTGTAGCAAATACTATTGGGTTTGAGAGTCAAAGATTTCCAGTCATATCCAAAAAATCTTCAGCTTTTTATAATCCAGCCCGCCAAAGTTTTCTAAATAAAAACATTTACTTATATTATACTTCTGTCTTTTCCCTGCAGTACCTACGTTCTCCGATAGATGGCGTAGAAAATGCTACATGTCATTTATCGCTCCATCTCTCTGCTCTCATTCGTTTCATTAATAATCATTAATAACACGTTTTAGTGTTAGTTCTAGTCATAAACACAGATTTGAGGGTTTTTTTTTTTTGGACCAATCATCGTCCAAGACTGAGCTGTGACCACGTGATATTGACAACTGGTAAATAGATTTACAGCCTCATAAAATATGTAGATACACATTAAAATGGCAGAGGAAAAAAACAAAATGACACTCGTATTGTATTATTAATATTGCAGGTTAGCCTTTTCAGAAACATCACTTCACAGAGAGAGAGAGAGAGAGGGAGAGAGAGAGAGAGAGAGCGAGCCTCAGGGAGGTGGATCTGATGGTCACGATCATTTATTTATTTCTCCTACAGACTTGGAATCAAATAGTGAGGTGAGATGTTTTAGTTTTTTTTCATCCACCTCAACATCACGTGACCAACATTACACATCTACACTCAATCTTAGGGTCGCGGCCCACAGTCGGTCCACAGAGCAGCTGTCAGTCTCCATTTAAAGTGGTTTCAAATGGTTTTTGAATCTGACACATGTTAAAAAACTAAAACGTTCTAATTTGCTTTTGTGACCGTTTTCTCCCCATTTATATTTATATTTATTTATTTATAATGTGTATATATTGATTTTAAATTCCCGCAAATTATCTTGATTTGTGCCTTTTTTTTTAATCAAAAGTATCAAAGCTCTTCCAGTGATAAAAAAAAAAAAGAAAGACAGAAAAAACAGAGCTCTGGCTCCGCGAGGGTTAAACTCAGCCAGGCAGCGTCGACTGGAGTCAGCTCCTGTTGGATTCTGTTCACAGTCACAGCAGCAGTTCGTCCTCACACCGAGAGCAGGTGGGAGAGAGAGAGAGACAGAGAGAGAGAGAGGGAACATCTCAGGACTCAACTTGTGGATCTGCTGCTGCAGGATGGAAACATCTCTGTGAATCTGTGCTGTGTTTGTCAACATGTCAATAAGTCGCTCACGATGATTCCATCAAATCCCGGCTCGGAGCCGCAGACCGGGGCGGACATTACAAGTTTTTTTATCGTGTTTGCTGCTCGTCTTCTTCCGTGAGAGGAGCCTCCACAGACCAGAAGATGCTCAGGTATTAGATGTCTTCACTGTGTTGTGACAAACTGCAGATTCTTCTTCTTCTTGGTGGTATTTTTTTTAGGATGGCTGTTAGATTCTCTTTGGTGTGTTTTCTACACTCTACTGTATCATGACACCGAAATGCGCTCATTGTGATTGAGACACTGTTGCTGTGACATGATGCTGTGAACGTTAGTCTGCATTACCGACTAAAAATAGGTCCAAACTGAATCCAATCTCCACAGACATCGGGATAACTTCAACACAGTGTCCGGTCTGTAAAGCAGGGAGACAGAGTTTTATTTTTATTTTTTTTTTATATCGGTTCATGATCGTATTCGATAATCGATGACAGCACCGTGTCACACTGGCCGCTGTCTGATACAGCTGGTCTGTTTTTGGATCGGGATCGATCGCTGTTAAAGACGAGCAGAGTTGTTTCAGCACCACAGTCCGCGGACAGCGCCGGAGCCTCGTCTGCAGAGTGACAGACGGGCGTTTCAGCACTGGACAGCGCTTACAGCGAGGAGCACTTTATCACCGGCTCCTGTCTCTCTCTCTCTCTCTTTGTCTCTCTCTCTCTCTCTCTCTCTCTCTCTCTCTCATCCCGTCAGCAAGAACAGCGGCTGTGCCTCTTAAAGCTGATTAAAATATCTATTTGCTCCTGTGATGAGTGGATAAACCACCTGACATTCCCGCTGTAGGACAACGGCAGCTCACAAACAAGTTTCTCTTCTCTGTCCTTTCATTACAGCCACACAACATGAGGCGGGACCCCGAAGTGGTCACCGGGATCACGTCGTCTTAACCTGCTGCACTTGGACTTTATTTCTCGTGACGTGACCGAATGACTTGAGTGAAAAATGAACAAAACAAAGCCTCGGTCGACCACCGCGCTGCCGCCGGACACCATGGACATCATCCGGAGCAAGACTCACTCCCGCCGGGTGAGACTCAACGTGGGTGGCCTCCTCCACGAAGTCCTGTGGAGGACGCTGGACAGACTGCCTCGCACCAGACTGGGCAAACTGAGGGACTGCAACACGCACGACTCCATCATGGAGATATGTGACGACTACACCCTGGACAACAACGAGTACTTTTTCGACAGACACCCGGGGGCCTTCACCTCCATCCTCAACTTTTACCGCACCGGCAAGTTGCACATGATGGAGGAAATGTGCGCCCTGTCTTTCAGTCAAGAGTTGGACTTTTGGGGCATCGACGAGATCTACCTGGAGTCCTGCTGCCAGGCCAGGTATCACCAGAAGAAGGAGCAGATGAACGAGGAGCTGAAGCGCGAGGCCGAGAACATGAGGGAGCGGGAGGGGGAGGAGTTTTCTACTACGTGTTGTTCTGAGAAGAGGAAGAAACTCTGGGACCTCCTGGAGAAACCGAGCTCGTCGTTTGCTGCCAAGGTAAATAAAACCCGCGGCCCCAAAACACATACACACGCACAGGCCGCGACCCTCCAGCAGATGGCGCTCTAGGCAACCACCTGCATCTCCTTTTGCCAAGAGCTCTGGCTCTGACACCACGTACAGAAACAAACACTGAAAAGGTCAGACGTTTCAAATAAGAAGTTCCTGAAGTTAAAAAGTTAAAAACAAACGCTTACAGCGAGGGGCGCTTTATCCCCGCCTCCTGTCTCTCTCTCTCTCTCTGTCTCTCTCTCTCTCTCTCTCTCTCTCTCATCCCGTCAGCAAGAACAGCGGCTGTGCCTCTTAAAGCTGATTAAAATATCTATTTGCTCCTGTGATGAGTGGATAAACCACCTGACATTCCCGCTGTAGGACAACGGCAGCTCACAAACAAGTTTCTCTTCTCTGTCCTTTCATTACAGCCACACAACATGAGGCGGGACCCCGAAGTGGTCACCGGGATCACGTCGTCTTAACCTGCTGCACTTGGACTTTATTTCTCGTGACGTGACCGAATGACTTGAGTGAAAAATGAACAAAACAAAGCCTCGGTCGACCACCGCGCTGCCGCCGGACACCATGGACATCATCCGGAGCAAGACTCACTCCCGCCGGGTGAGACTCAACGTGGGTGGCCTCCTCCACGAAGTCCTGTGGAGGACGCTGGACAGACTGCCTCGCACCAGACTGGGCAAACTGAGGGACTGCAACACGCACGACTCCATCATGGAGATATGTGACGACTACACCCTGGACAACAACGAGTACTTTTTCGACAGACACCCGGGGGCCTTCACCTCCATCCTCAACTTTTACCGCACCGGCAAGTTGCACATGATGGAGGAAATGTGCGCCCTGTCTTTCAGTCAAGAGTTGGACTTTTGGGGCATCGACGAGATCTACCTGGAGTCCTGCTGCCAGGCCAGGTATCACCAGAAGAAGGAGCAGATGAACGAGGAGCTGAAGCGCGAGGCCGAGAACATGAGGGAGCGGGAGGGGGAGGAGTTTTCTACTACGTGTTGTTCTGAGAAGAGGAAGAAACTCTGGGACCTCCTGGAGAAACCGAGCTCGTCGTTTGCTGCCAAGGTAAATAAAACCCGCGGCCCCAAAACACATACACACGCACAGGCCGCGACCCTCCAGCAGATGGCGCTCTAGGCAACCACCTGCATCTCCTTTTGCCAAGAGCTCTGGCTCTGACACCACGTACAGAAACAAACAGCACTGAAAAGGTCAGACGTTTCAAATAAGAAGTTCCTGAAGTTAAAAAGTTAAAAACAAACAAACAAACAAACAAACAAACAAACAAACCCCCACAGACTCACGTCCAGCGACTGTCAGACTGTGAGCCTTATTATTATTGTTGTTGTTGCTGCAGTGTTTCCTTGTTACTTTTATCCTGAAGCAGCAGTTTTTTTTTTTTTGGTTTTTTTTTTTTGGTCTGTCATTTTCAGCAGACTTTTTTACAGAGAAAAGAAAAATAATAATAATAAGAAGAAAAAACAGATGAGGCTGAAAAAAGCAGAGAAACATTAAAGGTTTCTGCAGCGACTCTGAGTGCAGTGAAAAGTTTTATCCAACGTGAGTGACTTTCTTAAAGGAATAGTACGCAACAATTATTGCTATAGCTGTTATAAACATAGGGTGAGGTAGTAGGTCAGGAACGTTTAAGTAGGATCTGAATATTTATATCTTAAAGAATAAACATTTTAGCAACCAAAACAAAAGCAAAGACTTTGACTTCATGATGAGCAGAGAAGAAAAGCACCGAGTGATGGTAATCTGTGGTGCTGTTCACCTCCAATAAAGTCATAAAGACAAAGGAAATTATGAAATGAAATTATTTTTATATAACATGTTGTTACAAATAGATAGGAACCTCAATGAAACCTCCATTATATTTTCTCAAAAATACTCAGCATTTTTTTCTTTTTTTTTCAATAATCCACTAAAAGCGTCTTTTTAAAACTTCCAGTCAGATATTGTTCCAGACTCACGCTCCGTGCACATCTCCAGGGGCGTCAGGATATTAAAAAAAAAACGTTTTTAAACATAAACAGACTTAAAAAAAATCAGGTCAAAACTGTGACACCTGTCATTTGAGTTTGGGTCATTTTTTTAAAGGTGGAAATCGATCCTCCTGCACAACAGTTCACTGTGTGGAAATCGATCCTCCTGCACAACAGTCCACTGTCGACCGACTAATGACTCCCACCTCCCACTCTTCATCATTAGCCGCCGCCTCATTTCCATTGTGGTATTCAATCATGCAGCTCATTACCAGGCTCATAAGTCACTCTGCACAGAGGAGTCGACTTCGTCCTCCTGGATCGATACAGATACAGATGTTTCCACAGCGTTCCTAAATCAGCCGACATCGGAAAAGATGTCACGAGGTCGACGTTCACTGGGGGGAGGAGGGGAGGTGGGGCAGGGTCTTTACAATACTCTGTTGTGTAATCTGTAATTGTGTAAAAGATACAGAAAGATCTGAAGCTCTTGGATGGTTACGCCATCTTCAGGTAATTAACAGAACTGTCCAGTCCCTCCAGGGAATTCACTTCTTCATCTACATATCCCTGACCTTGGATTGGTTCAGCTCTTAATTATTTTTCTGAAACATCCCATTATACTGATTTAATGACACGCTCCATCGGAGACACTCGGTCCAGCGGGGACATTTGGAGAAGTAATAACTGCTGACGGAACGTCATCTAACGGCAGATTAGCTGAAGGAAGTATTTGGAAATACAGTAGGAGAACGCGCTCAGAGTGAGAGATTTGGACAGAAGTTAGTAATAATAATAACACAACATGTTGACGCCTGAGTTCAAGTCTAAAAATAGGAGCTCGATGTCACAAATATTTAGTATTTGACTTTAAAGATGAAGTATCCTGGTATGAAATTATCTGTCAGTGTAGTAGAATTACTGTTAGTACTGCATATATTTGTCTGCAGTGATTCTTCCGTCTGCTTTCATTTTCTCTTATTTTTTTTGCTGTCCACATCACTCGTGGTCGGGGTGTGTGTTAGAAATAAGACCGAGTTTTAAAACAGGGAAGTACAAGTATATTTGATATTTCTTATTATGTATTGGTATGTAATGAAATATAATTTCACAAAAAAAATACCCCAACATGAAATGGACCAGTGTGAAAATATATATTTCAATATATAAGTCGC